GAGTAGGATAAAAGCCCGCATAAATGAATACAAACATAAACTCTAGTAAATATCCACTTAAATAAGCGGGTATAGACACCTTAGTATCCACCCCGCCCCATACCCACACAATATATATTATATAATTTAATTTATATTATTATATTAAAATAATTGTCTATCAATTTTCAAAAATATATCGATGTTAAACCATTACATATGTAACATAAATGTTCGTTTATTTCATAATTCAACAATAAGTTTTTTAAAACATTTAAATATTCTTAAAAACTTAAGATGGTATGATATTTTATAATTGATATATTTATTTTTTATTAGAAATGCAGACAACGGGTACTTACATACCCAGAGGACACGACCACGGGTGCTAAGGTTGTTACCCAAGCGGGTATGGACTCGGATACAAGAATTTTTTCCAACCGTGGGTATGGGGATGGGTACTATAGTACCCTACTCATACCCTGCCCATTGTCATCCCTATGACCAAAGTTTTAACCATATTCTTAAAGGAGATGGTTAATGGCTAGAATATTTTTCCTTATAACTTTACAAAATATCATAAAGTCATCTGCAAAAAAAAAATGGTTACCAAATGATATGTATCTCAACTTATCTAGATCCACCAATATAGATAGCAGCCTACTAAGTGTCTCTTCAACAATCATTACTAAAAAAACTACATTTTATAACAATGATTTCACCTCATATATCAAAAAATTGAGGTATAATTCTTGGACGCGTCGTATTTTTTTCTTTAAAAAATATATAATTTATCCCGGCGGTTTTAGTTGAAAACTGACGGGTAAACTAATTTAAGGTACATGTTTCGAATTCCAGTAGCTTCAAATTATGTTTTCATTTCATTAAAAATGACGTCTTCCTGGATATTTTATTTTTAATATAAAAATAAGGCATTTTTTACCTCACTTTTATTTTCTAACCGAGGCGAATTTGTTTATCTGATATATATAGTTTAGCTTGTAGCATTCAATTTCACTCGTCTAAAACATCACAAACATAACCCTAACTATGAGCCTTAAACAAGAGAGTCCTAAACAACGGGAGACATAAACACATATCATCTTTAATACGAAGATAATATGTGTTTAAAGCTCTCATTTGGTACTAGCCCGAATGAAAGACCTAAAATATTTTCTTTCACTTCTTCACAAATCTAGTACGTCAAACATCACTACTCATGTTACATTAATGTTGTTGTTGTTATTGTTTGTTGTTGTTGTTGTTGTTGTTGTTGTTGTTGTTGTTGTTGTTGTTTGTTGTTGTTGTTGTTGATGATGTTATTGTTGTTGAGACCTAAAATCATAGAAATTTAATCTTGTTGTTGTCGTTTATACATATTTATGTTATAGGTTTATTGATGATGTTGTTATAGTTTTGTTGAGAGATTGTTTTTTTTATATACTAAAAACAACATTCGTTCATTTAAATTGATAGAATATATCAAATAATATAAATTCAAAATCACTATAAATTGAAAAGGATAAATTTGTGAACAAAATCCACGTTAATAGCACTTGACAACAAAATGCCTACAAATATGATGAAACTAAAATGCTCAGAATACCCATATATCTGAGTCTGCAGCGTTAAGGATGTCAAAGTCATTGGTTGAATATGCATTAAGTCGAAACTAATTTGTCAATATGAATCTAACAAAATCCACAACAAGATGGAAAAACAAAATAACACTGCAATGAGACGATGACCAACACAACGTCAGACTATGATGACGAAATCACAAAGAGAAAACTAAAATATATGTGAGATCACTTATTTGTTGTTATTGAGTTTGAGTTTAAGATTGATATTTATATTGAGATTATGTTTTTGTGATTCTTTGTGCAACTTTCATATTGTTCTGACGAGTGGAGTTTATTTTATCTAATATCAATTGTTTGTTTCACTAACCCCTATTTGAACATATAACCTATTAAATTGATTTTTCAAATAATCATATGAAAAATTATGCTGTATTTGAAATATATCTTACACGAATTAATATTTTTCTATAATTCTATAACTCATCATTCATCTCATGTTCTTTTTGGTTAAAATCTCTCTAATACTTATAGTTTTTGTTCAACTTTCTTCCATATTTATTTATTTTTCAAAGTATCAAATTTGATGCTTTCAAGAATGAATTATTAGAAAAGGAAGTGTTGAATAAATAACTTGAAACGTTAAATAGATTTTAACCATTAAAGAACGTGAGATGAATGATAAGTTATATGATACTCAAAAATCATTGATTATTATAAGGTTGTTCTTTAAATATAACACAATTATTCATATAAGTATTCTTCTAACCAATTTTAAGAAGTTATATGTTTAGTTAGAGTTTAGTGAAATAAGTAATCCACATTAGATTTAATAAACTCAATTGTATTTTATCCGTCAGTGGAATGTCAAAATTGACGTGAATGGTGTTATACTCGTTGGTGAGATGTCAAATCCGATGGAAAATGTGTTTTTCTATTTAAAAATTCAAAAAGGATCTATCTAGAATCAAACTCGTGACCTTTAAACATTACTCGTCGGTTGAGTTAAAACCGAGAGGTAAAGTGACACACTTTTTATCTCACCCTTTATTACCTCACATTTGAAACTGAGGTAACACCTTATATCTCTCATTGATTCAAATGTAATATCTACCATTAATGACAAGATGCATAAGCTCATTTTGATTTGTCCAACTAAGAAACTCCTCAATGAAAGTTTTGTTTGAAAGACATCTATCAAATTTCTCAAGAGAACCAATAAATGCATTAAAATCATCTAACATGCACCAAGGGATATGATTGACACATTGAAGATTGATATGTTCATTCCATAAAAGTCTTTGAATCACTTGAGAGTTACTTGCATATACAACTAGAATAAAAAATTTAGTTTGATCCACTTCTGTAAAAAAAAGTTATATAATGTTCGGATAAATCCAACACACAAGATTCATATCTATTCCACACAAAAACCCGTAGATCTAAATCTTAATTTTATATAAATTTAATGCAAATCTCTTGTACTTATCTTGCTAGCTTAGAAAACTCTAATAATAACTATTTAATCTTATATTTTTAATATCTCTTAATTTAAAACAATATCTTTTTTATAAAGCATACTATCTCATCGAGTCATCGTGTAATTAATAAGTAATCAAATTCAATTCCAGATGAATAAATTCACTATATTATTAAATACCTAATTATTTATTAATGTGATACTAACTTTTATAGTCAAGTTAAGTTGTTTCTTAATTAAACTTCAAAACATCAATAATTTTTTTAATTAAATTATATTTTTGGTCCTTCAATTTTATTTAATTCATAAAATTAATTTTTTTAAATTCAAAAAGTTTTAATTCTCTTTTATTTTTTTTTTATAAAAAATCAATGAAATATTTATTTTTTAATTTATATTTTTATGTATAAAATTTTAAAATAGATTTACATACAATAATTTACCATATTTCACAAGAAACTTATCAATTATAAAATAGAAACATTTCAATTTTAAATGTAAAAATATAAGATAAAAATTAAAATTGTTTATTTTAAAATAGTGAGATCAGTTTTGTAAATTAAATAAAATAGGATCAATAATTAAATCTAATTTTTTTAATAAACTCTTAAGTACCTATGTGTTATAGTTGAAAACTCATATTTTAAACAAAATTTATTTAAAATTTGCATTTATTTTAAAATAAATTATTATAAAAAACACATTATTTAATAAATAATGATTGGTATGCTGGATTATTTTAAAGGTTATAGTGAGATATATTGCCATATTGGTATGTCTTTACACTTTCCTCTTTCCGTCTTATACAAATATTTTATTTAATTTATATGTGATTTTTAAGAAAACTAATATTATTTAGTAGAATAATTTTATTAACTATAAATAATAAATAATTTAATAAAATTAAAATGAATAAATACAAATATATTAGTAAAAAATAATAATAAATAGGCTTAAATGCAGTTTTGACCCCCCTAGTTTAAGGTTTTTGGAGTTTCGATCCCCCTAGTTTAAAAGCCAGATTTCTAGTCTCCAAAGTTTTCAAATTTGGGATTTTTGAAGCCCCTCCATCTGGCTGCCCAAAAAGTGACATGACAATGCCACGTATTTTTTTTTTAAAATTTTTTTTTTTTCCTTTCGAACCTTAATTTTGTTCATGAGGAGAAGAAGAAAAAAAATTAAAAAAAAAAAAAAAATTTTTAAAAAAAATTTTAAAAAAAAAATTTAAAAAAAAAAAAAAAAAAACGTGACATTGCCATGTTACTTTTTGGGCAGCCAGATGAAGGGGGTTTCAAAAATCTCAAATTTAAAAACTTTGGGGACTAGAAATCTGGCTTTTAAACTAGGGGGATCGAAACTCCAAAAACCTTAAACTAGGGGGTCAAAACTGCATTTAAGCCTAATAAATATTACGTCAATATAAGAAAGAGATATTTATTTTATGACAGAAAAATAGAAATAAAATTATGAGACATACAAAATAATTATTTGACAAAAACTATCGAACTTTTTTCAATGTAATTAATTTATATTTATATGATAAAAAAATCACATCCATTAAAAGTAGTGTTTTTTTTTTATTACAGAAAGTTTAGGAGAATTCATCACATTAGCAATAAAATTTGAACCAACAATCGAGAGTTGAACAATAAAGTAGTGGTTTTTTATTAAAGAAAATTTGTGAGACAAGAAAATAGTCGGCACCGCAAACCGCTTCTTCTTTCTCTTTCTACACTTTTGACTCAAAGTCTAATACTATTTCACATTAGTGTCACTCGCCCCAACATACCCAACCCACCCCACCCATTTTTGTTCTCTTCTTTTTCACTTTCACTCTCCCCATCTCAATCTCATGTGTGCAAAATAACCCCTTCGTTTTCTCTCTCTAGATCTCTCATCTTCAACATTGCACACAACACACATCACACAACACAAAACAACCCTTTCTAACTTCAACTTCCATGGCTGACACCACCAAATACACTCCCATATCCACAACCACTACCCCTCCCAACAACTTCCACAAACTCGACTTCAAAAACCTCTTCTCCATTCTCAAAACCAAAACAACCATCACTCTCGCTTACACTTTCATGCTCATCTTCATCGCTTTCACTCTCTTCCTAGCTTTTTCCCCTTCCTCCACCACAACTATTTCCCCAACTCCCACTTTTTCCACTTCCCAATTCTCTTCCATTTTCTCTTACTTTTTCCCAAACACCACCACTTCACTAACTCTCAACACAACCAACCCTCTTCATCCAATCCAAAACACCACCTCCTTAACTAGATCCACCAATGCAACTTCCCAATCTCAATCTCCACTTCCCATTCCAACCACAAACACCACTCTAATTCCACAAACACAACCATCTACTGTCACAAATCACACTTCAATTTCTGATGAAACCAACTCAAATCATACCACCAAAAATGCTACTCTTCAAGGACACCCTCCACTTACTCCACACCAGAATCTAACTTCTAATTCATCATTGAAAGGTGTTGATTTAAACAACTACACCGCCTCACTTGCTAAGAAGAAGAACAATGGGAAAAGCAAGTACACAGAGTTCATGGAATCTCTGATGAATTGTGATTTTTTTCATGGTGAATGGGTAAAAGATGATTCTTATCCTCTTTATAAACCTGGTTCTTGTTCAATTATCGATGAACAGTTCAATTGTATTCGAAATGGAAGACCTGATAAGGATTTTCAGAAATACAAATGGAAACCTAAGGCTTGCACCCTCCCAAGGTATAAAGTTCAATTTTTTTGGGGGATTATTTTATGATTTTTGTTTGTTTGTTTGTTTGTTTGGTTTAAATTCATAAGATTTGCCTTATTTGTGTTAGTTTTTTGTTTTGTTTTCATTAGTCCATTTTGTGATTTGATTTTGGGTTTTTTTAATATATTTTGTAGTTTTACTATAATTGACTTGTTTTTTTTAATTTTTTGGGGGTTTTGTTTTAGTTGAGTTGAATTGTTAATATGTGTGTGTGATTGAATTTGTTGTTTTTACTAATAGGTTGGATGGACATAAATTGCTTGATTTGTTGAGAGGGAAGAGACTGGTTTTTGTTGGTGATTCTCTCAATAGGAATATGTGGGAATCACTTATTTGTATACTTAAAAATTCTGTCAAAGATAAGAAGAATGTTTATGAAGCAAATGGAAGAGTTCATTTTAGAGGGGAAGCTTCTTATTCATTTGTGTTCAAAGTAAGTGTTGATATTGGTTTCTCGAGTGTTTTTTATTCTTTTGTTATTAATTTGTTATTACTCTTCTACTAATGATATTGGTTTGGTTTTAATGGTTTTGTAGGATTATAACTTCTCTGTGGAGCTTTTTGTGTCGCCGTTCTTGGTTCAAGAGTGGGAAATGCCGGATAAAAATGGGACAAAGAAGGAAACACTTCGTCTTGATTTAGTTGGTAGATCTTCTGATCAATATAAAGATGCAGATATCATTGTCTTTAATACTGGTCATTGGTGGACTCATGATAAAACTTCTAAAGGGTAAATGCATTTTTATAATTTCTCTTTCGAGGTGATTGCAAATTTGTGTTTCGCAATTGAGGGTCATTTTCTGTTTATTGTTATCTTCCTGTCTATGTATTCTATGTATTCGAAATTGTTTTTCAAACTTGTTATGAATGTTGATTACTGTGTGAAAATTTCTAGGAAGGACTATTACCAAGAAGGTAGCCATGTCTATGATGAAATGAATGTTCTCGAGGCATTCCGAAGAGCTATAACAACTTGGGGCAGGTGGGTTGATACCAATGTAAATCCATCCAAGTCCTTAGTCTTGTTTAGAGGCTATTCTGCTTCCCATTTCAGGTAAAGTGCAAATGAATTGGTGATTTTATATTTCTTCTGATCATGAATAAACGTTCGTTTCATTTTCATTACTCACAAGTTGAACATTTCTTCATTGCTCATGGAAGTAGACAGATTGGTCGATCATATAAACTTCTTTCTTTCTATCATGGTTATCAAATCAAGGTTCAAATTGTGAACATGATCTTATGTATTCTAAGATACATGATCAGTACAAATATGAGATTTATACAGTAAAAAACAAGTGACATTCTATAAAGACATAAGTAGATATATCATATAGAAACTTCAAAGTAATTCAAGATTCAAGTCATAAATCAAACTGATAAAAAAGAGTGGTTGGCTACAAGTTTAGGTTAGGGGAGAGTTGTGATTTGTGTGATTGTGTGATTGTGTGATTCATCCAAATGGATTGAAAGTTTGAAACCTATGTTGCAATTCATGTCCAAGAAAGATATGCATGACAATTTCTATTGATTAGGTTTAGGTTTGTTTCGATTCAAGATAGACTTGGATGTATCAACATACTTATAACCATGGTTTTTATTTTAATGCAGTGGTGGGCAATGGAATTCGGGTGGACAATGTGACCATGAAACTGCGCCCATCGATAACGAAAAGTACCTAACAGAGTACCCTCCTAAGATGAGGGTATTGGAGAAGGTGCTTAAGTATATGAAAACACCTGTATCCTACCTGAATATCACTAGGATGACAGATTTTCGGAAGGACGGTCATCCCTCAATATACCGGAAGCAAAATCTGTCACCTGAAGAAAGAAAATCACCATTGAGATACCAAGACTGCAGTCATTGGTGCCTTCCGGGCGTTCCTGATGCGTGGAATGAGATTCTCTATGCCGAAATACTAATGAGAGAGTTCCGAAATCAGAATCAGCAGAAGGGTCATAGGTAAAGAAAGAACTACCAAAAACCCCTGCCTCCCTTATACATTATATATCCAATGTGTTAAAAGATGAAATAGATACAGATGCAATATACAATACAGAAAATGCCTTTTCTTTTTCTCCCTATTTGTCTCAAAAAAGTTCATAAAGTTGAGTGAAATAGTAGTGTATAATCAAGAGATGTGGTTACCATGACTTGGTGAGGAGAGGAGAGGAGAGGAGAGAATACTATATGGTGGTTTAGTTTGTCATTGTAAATCATACCTTCCATTGTCTCTACATTTTCTTCCTAGCCTCAAAGGGTGATTGGTATTGTAAATCTCGGATCAACTGGATTTTTTTTGTTTAATATAATCAAACTTCTGATGAATAACCTTTTGATTATTTTATTTATATATAATTTATTATTGGAATATACTAGCTTTTATTAAGCCACTAATCGTGGGACACTGCAAAGTTTTTTTTTTCTGTAGGAAGTTGACCTATTGAATTAACATTTTGACAATGACTATTGAGTTAAGTTTGTTTTAATGAAGTGGACTCAGTTAAGGTTTATGACTATGGCTTATTAAGTTTTTATATTTAACTTTTGGCTTAAAAGCACTTTTAATCTCATTAATGATGTGGCACTGCTATGATGTAGCCAAGTTAGATTTGATTTTATATTTAATTGAAATTAGTTGTTTTTATTATGTAAATCATTAATAACTTTTTATATTCCATTTCAATGTAATATTATGGAAACTTAATATACAAAATAGCAACATTTCCCTAATCCAGTATTTTAATGTCATATTCAATTATATGAATATATTTAATATTATTAACTATTAATAATTGAAAAAATAAAATCACATGTATCATAAACATCTGTAATATATAAACAAATTCAAATCTTCATCAATCACAAATCCCTTGTACATTGAAAAAAAAAAACTCAGAAACACAGTCCAAAACATATCCTTCGTTGTCATTAGTATGCACAATTTTAATTTATATTCAATGTGACAAATTAATATCCATCCAATTTGACAATGAATGACCAAAACATCCATACATCCAAATAGATGAAATGATATCAATGACATAAATGTAATAAAAAAATCCAGGATTTATTACTATAACCAGAACTCGATATCAAAATTGAAAAATCTCCAAAATCAACAAAATCGTAATTGATGTTATCGGAAAAAATTCTTCCGGATCTGAGTTTTCTAATATGGTATTTTTCTCCAAAATCTCCAACCCTTTTTTTTCCTTCTGGATCCGAGAGTTATGAGTTGAAATTGATGGAATCTAAATTCTTTTCTAGATTTGGGTTTTTTATTATGGTTTTTTTCTCCAAAATCTCCAACTTATTTTTTCTGGATATGAGTATTATCGTTTCTATTTTTTTTCCTTCAGAATTTAGGTTTTTTTCTTCTTCTGAATCTGAAAATGCAATGAACAAATTTGAGACCATAAACTGAATTGGAGAAGATGAAGATGATTAAGATGTAATTATGACTTAAGAAATATTATTTTATTGATTAATTATTTAATAATTTATATAATAAAAAACAATTAATTTCAATTAAAAATCAAATAAAAGCTGACTTGGCTACATTGTAGCATTACTACATTATTAATGAAAAGGAACCAACAAAATTTTAAGAAGAATAAAATTGAGAGACCAAAAAAGTGAATTTTAAAAAATGGGGATTAAAAAATTAAAAAACACTAAAATGGATCAAATATATATTTAAACTTTAACTTTTTATTATAATCTTCGAAGATTAAAATTTTGTTTATGTAACTCTCCTATTTTTATTTTAGAACGATATTTGGTGAAGGAGAAGTCATGGTATTTCAATATATTTTAACAATGTCTTATGAAAAAAAATGAAAAAAATAGTTAATCATTAATCTTAATTTTTTATTAATTAATTTTTTTTTCTCTCATTCATTATCACCACCATTTCATGATTTTAATTAAAAATAAATAAATTTTAAATAAATTTAATAAAATAGCAAGTCCTTGTTCGTTGTTTCCTAGAATATGAATATATTTTAAGAATATGGATATATGTGTTAGTTGTTTCTAAGAATATGAATATGATATATGTGTTTCTATGTAACAATTTCTCTCTTAATAAATTCAAAATTTGTCTTTTCAAGATTTCAAAAGTATATTTTTGGACGTGTCTAATGCACACTATTAAAGGAAAAGATAGTTTAGAAACAAGTCTATACACTAAGTCTTATACTGATGGTGTTTATTTCACAATTTAGTGAATTATTCGAAAGTGCGATTTTGAATTTGTCAATCGGAAAATTGAATAAAATACTACCTTACATACATTCTTCACTCATGATCATATCACTATTCTTCTTCAAACTCTATCAAAACCTTATTATATACTCAATCAAGTTTTGGACTTCAAAATAACATTCCTCGTTAGTAGGTCAATCAGAGTAAGTGTCCATATAGCCCAAAGTCTTATAACCTGAGGACACGTCGATTAGTAGCATGAATATGGATATTTAAGGCATACTACGTTCAAATCAACGAAATTGACATGTACACATTCACCGATTATTTAATGATTTCTGAATTAGGACCACATTAGTTAGCTAAATTGGATATTTGATTTTGTTATAAAACCTACATTTTTTAACTTCTCAACCTCCACGTCAATCGTCACCTTTTTCTTTTTGCCAACATTGTATTTTCTCTTTTCCATAAGCTTCACAACGGAATCTTTGACGAGGCAGCGGTAAACCACCTTAGAGTCTATACCTGGCATATTCACGTGCGAACAAGGGATGACGTGTATTCTAATTTAATATTAAAAGCGTCTTCATAAATGGTGAAATTAATGGAAAAGTATTTGTGGAGCATCCATAAGGATGTCAAATTTAAAATGGTGAGATGGTCTATAAATAGAAAAAATGTTGAAATATTAAAATAGATTTGTTAAAAAATTAGATTAGATTTGATTAGAAATATTTAAATATAATCTAAGTTGTATAGACCTAAGTTCAGTTAGAGTTGTATATAAATAGTTCTAGTATGTATCATTATTTGTACAATTCAATAATATAAATCCTTATTTCCTTTATTATTCTCTCTTTCTCTCCTCACTAAAAGTGCCTCACACACTAATAAATTGGAATCCATAACTTCCAGTTATTATTCTTGATCGAACTTTTAAGAATTTCACGTCAGAATTCGTGTTTCTAGGGCAAGTGAATCAACCGCTAGTGATAAGTGCATTCCAAATTTTCTTCCAATGCTTGACGGCAAGAATTGGATCCGATGGAAAAAACAGATGCAATTCTTGTTTGGCTTCCATGAAACCCTAGAAGTGGTTACCAACGACGTTCCTGCATTGACTGCAAATGTAACCGATAAACTGAAAAAAGCCCACAACGAAGTCAAGAAGAAAGATTGGAAGGCTGCTTATTGTATTCAGACGGTGGTCGATGCTTTTAATTTCGATAGAATCTCTCATGCTGAAACAATGAAGAAGGCATGGGATATTCTGGTGAAAGATTACAAAGGAGGTGAGAAAGTCAACGTTGTCAAGTTACAAACCTTGCATCGATAATATGAGCTGTTGTCGATGGAAGAAGATGAAAAAGTTGTAGAATATGTGTCGAAGGTTCAAAAACTCGTCCACCTCATGAAGGGTTATGGTGAAATCATAACTGATAAGATGATAGTTGAGAAGGTAATGAGAACGTGTTGGCTCCTAAATTCGACACCCTTGTTTGTTATTAATATAGACCATTAATTATGAGGAATGGTTTCGACGTCGAATGCTCATCAGAAAGTGGCAAGGTACTTAGAGAATTTCTCTTAAGTAGGAATCTTGTTGCCTTCGACGTCGAAGGAACTTCTCGACAAAGGTATTTGATGCCCCAGGGTGGAACGGTTTGAGATTCGAATGTTTGGAGGGAAAACGGTTCCCAGCAGTTACCAAGCGCAACGTGCCAAGATCAGGAGCGTCGAATGCTGTGAGCATGCCAAGTGGAGTCATCTCGAAGCAACGTAACTGCCCAACGGTTACTTGAGATGTGTTTAGTATAAATACTAGTTGTTCACGTAGTTTTCGCGTGTGTTCATCATTATATACAAGTCACTCATCTAGATTCAAGTACCCAGTGTGAGCGAAAGAATTGTTGAGAATGTATGTGTGAAACACCATTTAAATTAATCAAAGTCTTTTATATTCCAGCACTTTATTGCCTTTCATTTACTCTTCTCCGTCGAAGCCTTTATTTAACACTTTCATTTATTCTATCAAGCTTTTCTTCATGCAATTTACATAAAGTGTCTTTACTTTACTAGCATTAACCATCATTAGATCTAGTCAAACCCCAAAAAATCAACCATGTCTTAGGATCAATCTGATCGATCCTGCGAGTCACCAAATAAGTAACCTTTTGGAGGATCAGCGGTTGTTTACCAATTTCCACGGTAAACAAATTGGCACACCTGGTGGGACCTTGTGTTGATTTTTAAGGTTAACCGTATTTATATAGAATATCATCTTTTTCGAGAAGTATTGCATGTTATTGAGAAGTGGTAGAATATACACTAACGATACCAATACTACGAGAAGAAGAGAAGCGATGGCGAATCCGCCAAACAATAGCGAAATCCCACAAACAAATATGGGAACAACGGTTATCCCAACCGTAAGTGAAACGCTAACCGCTGGTTCAACACCAGCAGTAACGGTCACACAAACGGGGCCATTACCTCCGTTCACTGGCCCCAGAATGCCTTTGGGAACTCCCCCACCAAGGGGAAACCCAGGAACTAGGCCTTATGTTCCCCCAGGATTTTCGACAGGCGGTCTAAATCGAGAACCACTCTATGGCATGCCAACTTCTGAATTGGCTAGCCTGACGAACGCTGCGTCCACTTTTTCAGACCCTTTAGTGAGCGCCTCTTCGCCACTCCAAGGTTCCGGAGTTGGTATGGCGAACAGGGGTAGGACCCAACTCTTAGGAGGAACGT